ATTTTCGCAGATAGTAACATAGATATTGGAATGACAAATTATACCAGGCTGTATTTGTTGCTTTTTCGATTGAGTATATCTTAGTATAATAGTATAATAAACGTAGAGTAAAACAGGCTTAAATAGATACATGTGAAACAATGGTCCCTATGAAGAAGAAAAGAGTCGTCTTCTACCAAGATGATGTGTCATATCAAACGATGTTGATTAACATGACTAAAGTGCAGAAATTATACTTTGAATTGTATTCATATTCAGCATATTCACTAGATTTTATCTCTAGCGAGTATTACCTGTCACAGACCTCGAAAACTTGTTCTAGAGAATGAAGAAATTTGGCTCCAATAAGAAAGTCGTTGCCGAGGTTGAGCCATGTATTTAGACCATGCCACAAGCTACAAAATTATGCCACAAAAAACATATCCAAACGTTAGAGAAGCAACATAATGATTGAATCATATTAAAGGATACTATATTAATCAATAAAGTCGATTATCCTATAATTATTCAAAGGCAAACCGTGGCAAAAAATCGTGACAGTTGGAAAAAGTTCGTTATGGCCCAATGTTTCCCTGGGAACGTACTGGAATGAGTAATAATAATAATTCAATGGAGTTATTAGCCGATGTCTTGTATGTTAAAGTGATATAAAATATCAACACAGTAGTGAAGATTTACTTTGGGTATTAACAAGTAGATGGCGTTCTATTAAGTTATCTAAAAATTTTGTACTTATGTTGAAGTAAATTCTTTTCAATGATGTGAAATATTAATACGTCGCGGAGCTATAATTCTAGTATTAGCTAGTAGATGGCGTTTTGCTTAGTTATCTAAACATCTACTATACATGTTGAAGTACATTCTTTTAAGTGTTTTATAATATCAATTCGCCAATGAATTTTAAGTTACAATATTCATTAATAAACAGCGTTGTGCTTAGTTATCTAATAATTCTGTATATATATTTTGAAGTAAATCGTTTTAAAGAGTAAGTAGTATTTCTTTATCCAAATAGTATTCAATCTCTTCAACAGTAATTAATAAAACATCTTCAATTATATTTTTTTTAATATACTTTAAGGCTTTAAGGTAAATTACAAGTACAGCTATTACAAGTACTTAAGTAGAAGTACTACTTCAATTCCCACACTCTTCCCGCAAACATCAAATAAAGAAATCAATGAGTTATAAAAAGAAGTTCACAGAACTGACGACAATTATGACGACAATGACATTAACGTAGCCATACCCAACGGACTGATAGGGTGCAATGGATGAATGTAAGAACCCGCATTTTGTATGTGAACAAATATTTGTAAAAAGCTTAAAAAACAAATGTTTCCCTACACTGGCTGGTGTACTTTGATGGCGGCTATTTGCATTTTGCATCACTAAACACACATAAATATAAACTTAAACAAACATATGCACTCCCGCATCTACGAGCAGAGCGAATCGTCACGCATCTACAACATGCGAAACACATGTATCTCGAGCATTTGAAAGGAGTTCATGGGAAAGGAAACGGCAAGGCGAGTGCGGGAGTAAGGGAATATCGCCATTCACTCACGCTTATGCAAATAACGCTTGCGAAAGTGACCAAATGACCATGTAAACGCACATTTCAGTTTAATGTTGATGTTGTTGACTTGCAACAGCATCAAAGGCGATACCATCGATAAATGCATGCGGGTGTAGCAGGAGGAGTTGGGCAACTGGTGCAACATATGCTGTGCCATAAAATTCACTGCGACGCAATAACTGTTGGCGATTGTACAAATGTTACTGCAAATGCAATGGGTACGGTACATCGGTCGAAATAAATGTGCCCACCATATGCAATAGGTGAGGATGGATAAGTTGGCATGGTGTATAATTGCAGTAGGAACTGGTATGCTTCCAATCTTAACAGCAACACATTTTTGCAAGTTCATGTTGACGAATATATTTCAACATTCAAGCAAAAAAGCAAAGACCAAAAATTACTTAACATTCTTTTGTCTGTTCTGTTGTCAAAATACAGTCATATGTTGTTGTTGTTGTTTCTGTAATTACTGCCACCACTTTTGCTTCTGCACAACTCGCTACATGATATGCTGTTAATTTACAGTCACTGTTGTTCTTGCTGTAATGGTTGTGCCTCTTCTGTTCAACATACAAACATAAAAATTTATGCGTGTGCTTTGAAGCGGTCAGTCCGAGTTTACTGCATTTTCCATTTTCATTCACGTTAAGGCAAAAATTTTTGTATTTCTGCATTCATTTTTATTTTTGCTTTTCTGTGTTTCTCTTACTGTAGACATTTTAATGCGTGACCCTCTAGTACAGCAAGTACAACCGTTTATTTTCAGTTCTTTTCCATTAGTGACCAACGGGGAGGCATGCAACATAGAACGCATTTCATTCAACGTTACTTTTAATTGCAAAAAGGATTAAGGCACGCGTAAAACGTATGCTGTGCAAATACTTTAACTTTCGCTGCAGGATGTGCACTGCTAACAAATGTAAATGCAAGTACGAGCATGATTTTGCATGTGTGTGCATGTTTATTTGTGGAGCAAGGCATACATGCCTTGTCCCGTTGATTGCATTGCCTTATGAAATGCAATTCAATGCATTTAGTTGGCTCATATGCGCTATACTGCAATGTTGCTTGGATTTGAAAACCTCCTATTATGCGAACCTTTCATCCCATCAGCCTATCAGCCCATCAGCCGTTCGTCAGTCGTTGCCAAAGTAGGAGGGTTACAAGTTGTAAATAATCTAATTTTAGTGGTGCTTCAAGAGTTGTAATTTGTTGCATGGGGGGATTATGATTATTGCAGCTGATATTATTCTTCTTCACGTCGCTTTGTTGTTGCTTTTGTGGGACGAATTTGAACCCCCTATGAGCGCTACGAGCGTTACTTGTTTTGCGAAAAGCTTAGTTAAATATTTGAGTTGAATTTATGTGCAATTTAAGCGTATAATTTCTTTAATAAATTTAAGTGGATTTATTTCTATATGCGGATTTGCTTTGATGTTGCAATTGTAAAGAAAAATTTAATCGAAATTATTTTAGTTTATTTGTGGAATGGAAAGCAATGTTTTAAAGTAATAGTGAAGCACTAAAACAAGTATGCTAATAAAGTATGCTAATAAAAATTATTTTAGTTTATTTGTGGAATGGAAAGCAATGTTTTAAAGTAATAGTGAAGCACTAAAACAAGTATGCTAATAAAATAGGACCTAGAATGTAAATATTAGTAGTGATAAGGACTATTTATTCATAAAATACATCAAAAATGTAATTAAAAGTTACTGTTATGTGTTTCAGGATCTTTCAGAATAATGTTTTAGAATTTCTTACATACCTTTAATGATAGCATTTCCATTAAAATAGTGGAGTTGAAGAAAATTTGAAGGGTACTTGTTAACAATATTACGAAACAATCAAAAAATACAACGCTAACGGATCAGGGAACCCGAAATAATGGATTTCAGTTACTGCCTTACTTACTTATGAAGCGATCCTAAGATCTGCATGCGTGACTTTAGTCAGATAATTTTAAACCTATTTAAGCCTCAACAGTTCACATGAAAACTGGTGCTATGGAATCTATTATGCTGAACACACTTGGCATAAAACAATCCATTATAGATATTGTTGATTTAAGTTTATGCTAGCATTGAAGACAAGAAAATCAATAAACTCGCCAATAAGGCGAACCAATTTGTTTTATGTCTTTATTAAGCAATTGTTTCCTCACATTCTAAGTGAATTATAGGTATTTATAACCTAAATCGAGATTTGAAATGTTTACTGTTAAGAACTATTTTGTAATAATAATAGCAACCCTAAAAGATTATTGGCTTTTCAAGAAGGAAAGCAGTGGTTTTCTCCTAACGATCTTAGAGAATGTTCGACACTTCCTCAGGAATCAAAAAAAAAATATAGAAGAATTCATAACATTCGTCGAGATATTGTGTCTCTGTAAAAAGGGATAAATACTATATCATGCTGTGGCCTTGGACGAGGAGAATCATTGCAAGGTCATGAAGCAAGCGGAATCGACACTAAAGTCTTACAATGACATTCACTAAATGCTTAAAATGTATTAAGAAATAACTCTCCACTTAAGTACTTGCTTACTCTTTCTTACTTGCTTATTACGCGACAAGGGTCGCGTAATTAAGAATTGTTTAATCGAATAGGATTCTTTCACAATCACAAAAAAATTTTGGGTTTATTACGTTACTTATAATAATACTGTTATGAAAATTTATTGGGGGAATATATTGTTGTAATGTAGAGATATCAATTATATATCAATTAGAAAGAAATAGAATATAATAGAATTGGGTTATGAGTACTTAGTGGAATGAAGGAAACAAACCATAATAGTCTTGCAAGTCACACTAAAAGATTAGAAGACCGCCTTTTTTTTTGAATGGAATCAAAATATATTTCGTAAAGTATAACCAATTATAAATTGGAGTTCATGGTATTCTGCTTAGTCTAAATAATACTCCAATATTTATAAAAAATATTACTAGAAGATTCATATTCCACGCAAAAAAGGCATTCTATCGTTTAATATCCTGGAGAGACGTTTATACAGTTCAGATGATTTACTACGTAACATATCGGTAATTGCAGTTGTGTTCTATTATTGAGGAAAATTTCTTTAATTGAAGAGACTGCTTTTAGAGACTGTATTCTGCTACTTGATTTTAAAAAGATGATGTAGAATGAGATGATTCACTATGTAACCAATTACTATCACAACTGTAGTCTATTGATGAGAGATATATTTCTAAGAGGATGGACTTCACTTTTAGACTGTAATCAGTAACGTCATATAAACTAATATTGGAGAGGTGATATTGTCCGTTTGATGATTCGCTATATTACTTGCTA